TATCCAGGGCAAAAAGTCTAAAGATAAAACTCTGAAGAAATAAGTGAGGGAGGAATGTTGGGCAAGGGAACCTTTTCCTTTACCTTTATAACCACAGAGTTATGTCTTTTGCCATGAAATTACTACAGAGAAAGTAGTGCCTGGTGGGAAATCATATGTAACCACACAAGCTCATTTTATTTCTTATCTGAACAAGTATTCTTCTGGAGTTCTGTGAAACCTACCCTACATAGTTTCTGATTCTAATCCTCTAATATTACAGAATATAATTTGGATATTTTTCACTACCCCATGTGAAATTAGAAAAAAATAACACCATTGGCAAAATGGGTATCCAGGGCAAAAAGTCTAAAGATAAAACTCTGAAGAAATAAGTGAGGGAGGAATGTTGGTATATAGATCAGTGATGATGGTTTATTATTATGACTGTGAATAATAAGAGTATAAAAGAGCAACTAGGCAAACACAAATACTTTTAGACATTGTCAAAAGGTCTTATGCACATTAAGTCGCTTGCATTCAAGGAGACTTAGGGCTTTTCCACATTTGTATTTTCCTCACTTGTGTGTTCCTGTTGCTAGGGGTGGGTGTTTCCTTGTCCTGGATGTGTTTTGCTCCCTCTAGTGATTGATTCAATATTACATACTATACCAGTTTATGGCATATCTCCATGCAGATTTAAACTACAGGTTTTTATACCGGTTTACGGCCACATGACCACGGAAACGTCTTTGGACAGCACTGGCTCTTCAGCTTTGAAACGGAGATGAGCACCGCAACCCTAGAGTCGGATTCGACTGGCTTTTGAGCAAGGGAACCTTTACCTCTAGCACATCCCTCTGCAAATTTAAATTGCAAGTTTTTATGCTGGGCATAAAGCAATGTAATATCGAATCAACCACTAGAGGGAGCAAAACACATGCAGAACAGATCCACCCCCCCCCCCAAGCAACAGGAACACACAAGCAAGGAAAATGAAAATGCAAAAAAGCACCTACTCTGAAAGAGCCTTAGATTAAGTCTACCATGTACTGGGATCTTCAGTTTTTTCTTGCCCATTATATACCACAATTTCAGTCTGCTGTCAGTGTTAGATCACTAGTATGTCTCTCCAACAGATACATCCCAGTCCAGAATTCTCCTCAATAACAGATCCCTTCCTTACTAACATAATTCTGGAGTCACACCATAACTAACAGTGGAGTATATCCTGTTGTAGTTTTGGTTAAAAAAAAAATAACTTTCACAACACAGAATCAAAGATAGAGTAGTTTTTGCCCCCAAAGATAAACTTGATCAGTCTCCCAATTGATATTTTAGTGACTGTGAATTTGATTACTGCAGAGGCACTGTGTGTGTGTGTGTGTGTGGGGTAAGGTAATTAACCCTTTCCCTGCAGCCTACTTTTCTAGGTAAGGTAATTAACCATTTCCTTGCAGGCTACACACTCTTCCTACCCCCAATTTCTCCCCCATCTATAAAAACAAAATACAGAGATCCCTGTGGATTCCTGTATTATTGCCTCTGCAGACAGGAAAATGGCACAGGGAAGAACAATTGTGATTGCAAAACTGCTACAGAGAAAGAGTTAACCACCCCCTTTGCCAGTAATATGGACTGTGATTAGATTCACAGCCCCCAACCCACAGCTTTCATTTCACTTTTTTTAAAAAAGCATGAAGATGAATCATGGGTGAGTCTGACAAATATTGGATTCCTATTCCATGGCAAATAATATTCTGTGGAACAAGCTTAATGATCTGTAGATACTCTATCCCTAACTCTAAGAAGATGTTTTAATTAGAAATGAGATCTGATTTCCTTTCAGGCCAACAAAATATTAATCTGTCAGTAAAATTCACAAAGAAGAAGGAAAGATGACCCTAATTTTGCCATCATCCATGAGAAACCCATCACCAGAAATGAAAATGGCCAGACTTCTAAAGAGAAAAAAACAAGCAATGTTTAGATTACTCCTAATGAGTTTTACTATGTCTGTTCACCTCCTACCAAGAGTTAATTAGGGTCACCAACAATATTAAGCAGAACACTATAATCACATTACCTAATCTTGCTTCACTAATATAGTTACAGAATAGTGTACTCATTGTACATTAATGAAGATCTGTGGTTCAGGTTTGGCATGTGGGTGCTGTGCTAATACAAAACCTTCTAGGGTTTTACGCTGGATAGAGAAGATGGAGTTTTGCTATGGACTAATTTTAAACAGACTTGGAGGTTCTGCCTCTTTATCTGCCAAAGATTTATATAGAAATTTTCTTCCTAGCTCTTAAAGAAGTGGCACAAAGCTTCTTGAATTATTACTTCAGCTGGGTCTCCTTGTAATGGTTCTATTGTTTGCTATTTTGTGGCCATATCCACCCGGTATAGGTCTTTTAAATTCCATACAAAAGATTCTTTTTATTACAGTGCAAGTAAACTACCTGAAAAACTGTATAAATTTGCAGGTTGAGGGAGGGGCAGCATCCTGGGAGAAACATTAAAAAGAAAAATAAGGCCTTGTCTACTTAAAAGACGTTCTTACCATAGAGTTCCTGGCAGTTCCTAGAACTACCCAGAGGTGTCAAACAAGGAACTGCTGGAATTGCAAACAATGGGACCTGGGGGCTTGGTCCCCTATAAACTGAACACAGAGAATTTTATCCTGTTTTATTTTACTGTTTCAATCTTTGAAGCTCAATAGCAGATAGACCTAGTAAATGTGGTGCCAGTACTAAGAATTGCCCTTGATACCTGGGATACTGGATTCCTATACAGTCCAGAAAGGGGGAATCCCTTATACAGACATCTAATAACTAGCAGGGAATGAAAGAACATTAGCTAAAGTACACATCACACATTTAATTAAGATAATAGTGGGATTGTATTTTGCATTTGCAAAATTTACCAAACTTAAAAGAAGTTCACAGAAATTACTGAAGCAAAGAACTGTGAATATATAAATGTATAAAAGGGGAAGTGTGCCATCAAGTGGGAACTGACTCATAGCAACCTCATACAGTCCCACCCCCCACCCACCCCGCACGGGGTTTTCAAGGAAAAAGAGGTGGTTTGCCATTGCTTTCTTCTGCGTAGCAGCCCCAGTCTTCCTGGGCAGTCTCCAATCCAAGTGCCAATCCTGCCTAACTTCTGAGCTCTGATGGGGTTTGGTTAAAAACAAAAGTGCCCAAATACGCTTCCTATTCTTGTATTCTTTTCAGACTGTAACAAATGAAAAGCAGCTACTGGCCAGGGTGGTGGGTGTAATGACTCAGCATAGCAGAATGCTTCTGCTATAACACAGAGGCTGCTTTATGGCAAAATGTCTGAAGTACACACTTTGAAAATCTAGATGAATCACTTCTTCCCCAAATACTGAATTAACAGGGGAATAAGACGGGAGGGAATGTGTTGGGTTTTTAAATACTTATTACCAATTTCATCAATGATAATGCAATATTACAAGAAGGCTAGAAAAGAGTCAGCATTCCTAAAGTCAGGCAGAGCAAACTTTATAAAAGTTTAGTTCAAAGTGATAAAGGATCAGCCCTAATTGTTTTCATTGTATAACCACTCTTTCTTCCCTTTTTTTTTGCTTTCAAATGATTGTACGAATTCCTAGAAGACAGAAAGCTTTCACTATGTGGAAACAGCATGTATTGCATGTTATTGCACTGAATGGCATATGGTGGGATGTTATGTGCAAATACTTCCAAGTACAGATTACATGTAAATAGCTAGGAACAGCTAGGAAATCAGCTTAGTTTAGATTACTCTGACATGCAAAAAGCATTCATACAAACAATCCCCTCATGTGCTATCTGAAGTAGTATAGTGTTGTGTCCGCTGACCGGCACTAGGGTCAGCGATTACCCCAGAGCTTGACTCTGGGAGAACAATAGGGACTAGGCTCCTAGTCCCTCCACTGGAGGAGCCAATGGGAACCGGGGCGGGAGATTCAAACCCACCAACGGGACCCAGGGGTGTGTCCCAGGGGTGTATATAGTTGGCCAGCCGGCCGTTAGTCCCTTGTCTTGTGTGTACCAATAAAGCGTGCTATGCACTATGCCAGTCTTTGTCTTTCGTACATGCGGCAAACCCACTACACAATATATAGTCCACACACTTTATTCAGCACAGATTAGAATATGCCCCAACACCTGGCCTCAATATGCAGAGAAGGATTCTAAAATGGAACAACGGGTTGTACAAGGTCTGTGGGTGGAGAATGCCATTTTTGAATGTTCTGTTGTGTTGGAAAAAAACTTCAAAAACCCGCTAGTTGAAAACTAGTGAGAAATGTTCTGGCTCAGTCTGCTCTCTGGCATTCCAATTTTCTGTGCAACGGAGCCTTCAAAATATGACTCCCTTGCTTGTACTATGGAAACATAGGGTATAGCCAAGCAACTTAAAATGTGGCCATCGAATTCTGCCCTATGAATTGACAAGGTCTGACTGAGTGGCTAAATCATAAATACGGATTCTTTAATCAACCTCAATTTGAGTTCAAAGGGTTCTTCAAGTCTGCTTAAGGGGCAATTAACTTGTTCTAAGCATTTTTGGATATGCAGCCTAGGTTTCTGTCAATGAAATATGTGGTAAGGCACTGGAATTGTAACACAGGACTGAAATGCAGGATCCCCCTGCTCTATATGACCCTTTTAACTGACTTTTTATAACAAATGCAGCCACTGGAACAGAAACAAGGGAGAGAGGTGCCTCAACCCTTCCCCTTTCCCCTGTTTTCTCACTGAAAGTTGAGCTTTTTCAGAGGAAAAAATAGAGGTAGAGCCAAAAACAACTTGCATGTTTGTCTGTGTGTGTCAGTTAAAATCTTAGGAAAATATATATAATACATAGTTCTGTTCTTTGCAGCATGTAATCTCATGTCTGATTATCCCTTCTGTGTTTGAGAAGCTTTCTCTATGTCTCATGCTATGATCCAAAAGGGGGCTTGTATTTAATAGTTTGGAAACTCCCAGGACTGATATTTCTTTTACCTATTGTTTCTCTGAACGAGGCTTTCCATCCACCAGCTGCTTCAATGAAATCAGTCTTGAACACCAGGAATAAGTTGTTGGTGGAACTCCTGATTACGGGAGGAAGTACAGCACCACAGAATTTGCCAAGAAGTCGAGCAAGTGTGTTTGGGCCGTCATACACAGCAACGTAGTCTTTGTAGCAAGATGAAGAGGCCTCGAGCTGGAAGCTGTTGAATCTGCAAAATGCATTTCACCACTGTTTGTTCCCTTCAGACGTACATTTATAAAAAGGAACAGCAACAGACTAGAGTACAAGCAGGCATCACATATGGAAGCCATGTGATTTACCTTTAAGCCGCACTTCATTTCTAAAATGTTGGGCTGAGAAGCAAAAACACTGGACTCAGCACAGCATCAAAGTGGATTCTCCTTTTAAATACTACTGCCGAGTTTCACATGAGTTTGCTGAGCAGTTTAGATGATGTACTGAATTCACTGGGACTTGAACTCTTAAAATAAGTGTACATAGGATTTCAGTTTAATGTTGCAGTCTTATGTACACTTACTCAGGAGCACATCCCACTGAGTAAATTTAAATAGGATTGGGCTGTAAATTACCTGTCCTAGATTGGAGCTAAGGCACTGAAAACAGCTAGAAATATTTTAAATCCCAGGACTGCTGCAATGAAGCAGTGGTTCAGAGGATCCAACCACAAGGCACTGGTACTAGTGCCGCTCATCCTATCATGCTGCCACTTAGGAACAACTCCAACCCTGATGCCCTCCTAGAGCTCCCAGAGTTTATCATAGCTGTGCTACAGAAGAACCGCTGTGTTGTTCCACTTAGGCAGGTTCTTCTGACCGCAAACCTGCAGTATCCGTCTAATTTATCAAATAATTGTTATTGTTGCTTATAATTACATACACATAGAGAAAAGGGGAATATATATATATAAAATTCATTCACAAGAAATAGAATAGTCTACAATAAATTAATTATGAAGAGCAAATGGGTAAATCTTATCACTAATTTTCTCATCCCATAACTTAGTAAACAGTGTCCAGTGTTTATTATTTGTATTTTTTAAATTGCTCCTTCGGGCTCTCTGATAATATATTAGTCATGTCCATAAAGCAGCATGCCAGGTTTTATTAAACCACTCATCTATGGAAGGAGGTGCTGTCCTTTTCCCAGTTTGCTTCTATATCCATCGGTAGCGAACAATAAAACTAATTCCATATCTGAGGGACCCACATAGCCTTTTTAATACCCTAGCAGTATTATCTTAGGGTCAATGGAGTATGTTGATACCGAGCATTTCATTGCAGTATCTTCTATGTGAAAGAAAGATGTAGTTCTAGATGAAAGAAGCTGTGAAGCCTGGGCAAAACTAGTCTAATTGAAAATTAATGGAAGGGATAGAGGGCAGGACCAAACGACACAGGCTCCAAGACATAGGTTCATTTTTTCAATTGTCATTGCAAAGATGTTCCCCATAATTATTGGGAATTATAGTTTTACACCTGGCCAGGATGGCCCTGGTTGCAGGGTCAACTCTGGTTAGCACTTGGATGGGAGACCACCAAGGACACCCAGGGTTGCTACACAGAGGCAGGAAATGGCAAACTACTTCTGAATGTCTCCTGCCTTGAAAACCCTTTGGGGTTGCCATAAGTCAGCTGTGACTTGGCAGCAAAACAAAAGGTTAACAATAACTGGCCTGGGTCACATGGGCAGGAAAATGCGGGGGGGGGGGAGCGTGGCTGTTTGCCCCGGGGCAAAATAACACACGGTTGCGCCAGCAGACGTACCGTGGAGGTCCTGTGGAGGTCCCGTGGAGGTCCTGTGGTAGGGGGGAGGGGCCGAGCACACCACAATCCTGCGCCACGGCAAAGAAGCGGCGCGGCAAACGGGTGTTTTTTTCCAGACACCAAAGTGTTTGAATGCCCCGTTGGGTGTTTGTGCGCATCCCATGGACAGTTGAAAAAAAACCTTTTATAGAAGGGGGCATGGGCGGGCGCCGGAACTACCACCGGAAACGCGATCAGATGCCCGCCCTTGCCCCGCGGTTACTGGAAACTAGTACCTCCAAGGTACTAGTTTTTAACCACGCATCTTCGGCGGGAAGCCTTGGGTTCACCATGGGAGCTCTACGCTTCCCAGATGTGGCGGTGAGATCGCGCCCGGAAAATCTGCCTATCTTCCATCCCTCTAGCGTGCCTAATGCTCCGTGTGACCGCAGCCACTAAATACCTAAAACCAGCAGCCACCACATTCTTACCATTTAAAGAAAACAAATTTTGCTTACGTACTTGAGTGCCACAATCTTGTTTCTTCTTACAGTGATATGGTAGGAACAATTCATATTGTGATGGTAATCAGAAAAGGAATGGGTTGGGCTGCTGATTGTGCCCACAGAGTCATTGAAAACACCACCACAAGCTACGATAATAGGAGAAAAAAAGAAAGACTGCCATTACTGTTCAAGAAATACCTTTAGCATAGCATCCAAATTTATTTGTAGGTAACAACAGGCATGAAATGAACTTGGAAAGTTGTGAGCACAGGAATGTTTTGTTGGCACCTGGCCAGCTGAAAATCTCTCTTTTTTTATTCAGAAGTAAAAGTGTTGGTATGAATCCTAGCTGAATATTCTAAGGTGCTAGCACAAAAAGCAGTCTTTACATGCTAAGCCAATATACAGAGGGTAAAAAGACAAAATAGAGCATGATACTGTTTGTCAGTGATGGCTATTTCCTCCATCCTTCCACCCAGATGCATTAGACATACCTTGTACCTGATACATTAGCCAGAACTAAGTTTGACACACCTGGTATTCTCCCCCCCACCACCTCTTTTTACATGTAGCTTGTGGAGCTGTGTTCTATGGAGCTCCAAACTTTGTGCTTAAAGTTTGACACACCTGGTATTCTCCCCCCACACACACACACCTCTTTTTGCATTTTTACATGTAGCTATGGAGCTCCAAACTTTGTGCTCATTATTTTGTGATATTTTGATTGGCTCTAAGAAAAAGGCTCCAAACTTTGTGCGCATTATTTTGTGATATTTTGATTGGCTCTACTACTGTTGCTTTCATGCTTTTTCCATGGACCAACATGGCTACCTACAATTTTCAGCCCTTGCAGAAAGCAAGACTCGAGTGCTTTTGAAACTGATAAATTAAAGTTTCAGGGTTTTAGATTCCACTTCAAGGTCTACTAAACAATTCACAGCTGTGGTAACCACAATACATTCTAGACTCCTTTTGATTTTCCACAATGAATGCAGCTGAGACTTAGAGGTGGCCCAATCTTTGTTCCCTATTCGAAGGAATCCAAATTTCTTTGGAACAAGCATCTCTGTCCACCACTGTACTCAGTTTTATAGCCTTTGCTTGAGAATAGCCTGCTAAAGTTCTGAAGGACTAGTCATCACATTAACCACTCACATAACAAGTAACATTTTCTAAAGGGGGATGAATATCTATACCCTCGTCCTTCATTTTCAGCTACGATGGAGGGGGCACTGTATATTGGAGTGATGACAAATAAAAGACAAAAGCCCTGAAGATTTTTTTTAAGCAGCATTCATTCTCCGCAACAAGAGAGAAGCTTTTTTTCCTTTGCCATTTGCAAAGAATAAAGCTAGAAGGAAACAGAATGTTAACTGCTAGAATCTGTTTTGGGTGGGCAAACAACCTAATAAAAAGCTACAGTCATCCTTCACAAATGTCAGAAGTCAAAGGTCAGACAGTAACAGCCAACTGGGGTGAGTTATGAACATCTCTTTCATGAGTAAATGAACATTGTCATCCTTCAATGCTGTTCCGTCTAGCCAGTGGCTATCAGGATGATTTATTCTAAACAAAGGCACTTGATTTCATGCTTTTAAGCAGAGGCTGTTTGTCAGGGGGACAGTAAGGAGGAAATTTTCAGCATTTTCTAGCACTGGTGTAAAATGGGGCCCTCAGACCTGTATCATTACAAGTGGGGAGTTGCATTTGGTTGCCTCTTATTTTACACATGAACAGAAAAATATGAATTTGCCCCAGTGAAATGCTACGTTGATGTCTACTCACGGATTATTCTGTAGGTCACCAAAAACCCCATGCCAACCGTGTGGGAGTCTGTGTAGAAGTTCAGTAGCATGGAACCAAAGATGCTGACAGGCCCAGGGATTTCATTACCGCAAAAGGTTTCCAAAAGGAATAAATTAATACCACTCCCTTTGAAGATCCTCACTCCATCATAAGAGCACATTCCAAGCATAGCAGGAGCTGCATGACACAAGACTCAGAATTTTATCATCAACTTAATGCAGAATTGTTTATCATCCAGGTACTTTATACATTAAACTAGTCTCATTGTTTTCAGCCTTCATCTTAGTCAGGCCCGTAGCTAGCATGGGGCCCACGGGGCCTGGCCCCCTTGTGTTTCTTCTGGGCCCCCTCCCTATGGGGCTGCCCCCAAAGTGCTTCAACTTACCACCTGCACTGTACTTCCATTTAATTAGCTGGCGGCCCCCCCCCAAGGCCCCCTCCCAAAGAATTCCCTAGCTACGGGGCTGATCTTAGTAGTCAAGCTTGGGCACTCAAATTAATCACGTGGTTACTATGCACAAGCTAATTTTACTGAAAGGTAGGAGAAATATGTCTTGCCTGTGAAACCAAAGTAAGTCCAAGATTTCAAGTCAACTTGTGATTTTGTACCAAGTTCCTTTACTATTTGAACCATATGAGGCAAGCAAACATAATGTACCTCTTTTAAAGCAATTATATATTGGTATACTGACCCTTCCCCAAGGACACAAAAGTATATTCTAGATATATTTTGCAGGAGGCTCAGACCTCCTAACTCTTTGAACATCCAACATTTCCAGTATATACAAAGTCTCTGATTCAGAAGCTCAGTCATGACTAAATTCCATTGAAACTAGTAAAATAAATTAGTCACAACTAATTTAAGAGCTACTGATTCCACAGAGCTGGGAAATAATCAGGGCTGTGAGCCCCCGCCCCAAGTGGGGGCGGGGGATCCCTCACCTCCAACTCATTTCTTTCTGCCACTTGGAGAGGTGAGAGAAAAAATTTAAAAGGCTATCGGGCAGTAGACGTGACATCACTTCTGGGAAAACCTGGAAGGGATGTCATGACTCTCTAGGAATCACTGTAAACTCTACAGTAAAACAATACTACTATTTTTAAAAAGCTGTGAAGATCAGATAGATGTCCTAGCTTTGTGTGTGTGTGTGTGTGTGTGTGTGTAGGATTATATCAATGTTTGTAACTAATTTGAAATTACCTTGATTTTTAATAAGACTTTGTTGTAACTCACTCTTGCTAATTGTGCCCATGGGATTCACATATCTTTTGACTCCCACTGGCTGCATACAATGCTTTATAGATAGACCTTCATTTAATTTAAGCAAGACATTTTGAAAAAAATACCAGAGGATGCCTTTTCAAAAGAAAATGCACAAATATTTAAAAGCTCCTTTACCCCACCCCAATAACAATGAAAAACAGGGCTTAGAATCTGCTTAGTTATGCTGCATTAGTAATAATACTATTATTTGTGGTATCTGATGGGTGAAAATTTTGTATGCTGCAAAACTGCAGCTTTATTTCTCATTTTGTAATAAATAAGAAACAAGCCAACAAATGCTTATTTGAGGTAGCACAGCAGCACAATAGGGCAGTTGTTTCTGAATTTCAAAATAAAGACAAATGCCAAGAAGAGTGAATCATCTCTCTGGAAGGCTCTCCTACTCTTGGTCTTGACTGCATCTAAGACTATGTTGTACTTTGACTCCCTCAAATGAAACTTTATCATTAGTATTGGTCAGTTGGCTCCTCTTCCACCATGATTTTTCCTTGCAGATTCCAAGGCACATAAACCTGTAATTCCAATTGCTGGGGAGGCTGAGGTGGTGGATTGGTTAAACTCAGGAGCCCTGGGCTGCAGGGGGCTATGCTGATTGGGTGTTTGTACTAAATTCAGCATCAGTATAGAGTGCTAGATATAACATGCAGTTCCACCTTTAAAATTCCACCTAGCAAAATTTGTACATCCACTCTTCCACTGGAAATGTTTCACATTCTCATAAGTGTTGAATTGTCATATTAAATATAAGAATATAAGAAAAAAACATAAGATCCAGCTTGGCTAGATCAAACCAGTGTCCTTATAGTCCATCATCATGTTTTGCTAAGTGGGCAACCACAAACAGTTGCCCTGGAGGGCCAACAAACAGGGTGTAGGTCAAGGCCATTCTCTGATGTGATTAACAAAAATAAAAATAAAATGATTAACAAAAACTTTCACCACTTACATTGCAAATCAAAACTTTCAAACTGCAGGATGACAACAGACTGGGGTTCCACATCTATGATATAATTGCAATTCAGGTTGTTGTCATATTGGCTGGGAAAGTTAGGTGACACAATTTGACCTGATGGAGCAGTGAAATTTGCTCCACACCCTTAACAGAAATAGAAACAAAGAAATAGTGAGCGTCTCCAAAAAATGTTCGAGGTACAAATCCAATAACATACAGAAGGCTAGAATGTGATTTCTTGACATAAATACAGACTTGTGAAGATATGCCAATATTGTTTTCCACTTTTAAAATGGCTAAAATGGCCCAGTGTAACATTAAAGGGAAGGTGTTATATTCATAAATAAGATAACACATTTCAAAGTCATCTGTGCTGCATTATTTAGCTCTGAAGGTTATGATTGCATATGGCTACATACAGGAAAATAAACAGAAAATTAAATATCAGGGGAAGGCGTAGGCTAGACTTTCTTTTCCCTGATACCTAGCTTTCCAGGTGGAAAGAATTTTCTTGTAGTAGTCTGGAAGAGCACTCAGCCACGTGGGCCACCTACCAGCATTCAGAACCAGGGCTTCTTCTTTTTTTCTGGGGGAACGCACCGGAACAAAGTTCCAGAACCTCTTTGACAAAATTCTTTTTAGAATGTTTAAAAGTTCATGTGTTTTCAGTATACAGATTGAAAACTTCATTTCCTCATCAGAACTGATATAAAGACACTTAAAATACCTTTAAAAAGAACTATACAGAATTTTTAAAGGGAAAAAAATCAGTTAATTACAAAACAAAATTCACCACCCTGCCAACTGGGAAGTGAGTTCAAAAGCCAAATAAATGGCCCATGTGATATCAAATCCAGAGAAATATGCAACAGGGGCATATAGAATCCTTAGTTCCAGTCAACAGATAAATAAAGCCAACTGGGGGTGTGTTCAGATGAGCAGCTAATCCTGCCGTTATGCCGGCTCAAAATTGATCCCGATCTTTTTAATCCGTCTTTGCATGACCAGACATCCCCCGGGGCAATCGCCTTACCACGCGCTGCTTCTGCTGTGGATTGTCTAGATGGCATCCACAGAAGGAGGTGCGCACAGTGGGGTTTTTTTTTAAAAAAACTTTTTGCACATGCGCATAGGCGTGATTGCACATCCTTGTAGATCCGCATGTGCATGGAATCAAACATTCAAAGCACCATGTGAGGGACGCGTAGCCGTAATTCCAACCAACAGGACAGCCCAAGCACGACCAAATTCTTCTTTCATTTTCTGTTCTGACCCACGCTTGCAGGGCTGGACTAAATGAGTCCCAGCCATCCCCCTTGCCATTCAGATCATGCTCACTGGAGGGACTATTTTGCATGTCGAAAGACCCATCCTCCCTCCAGCTTCCATCCCATTAACCGATTGTCCTTAAACTCACAGTCATTCAAAACATTGAAGTGTTCGTGGTGCTGGATTGGGGTTCCACAGCCTCGGTTTTAAATGTGTTTAAACGCATATTGAGTAGTGATTTTTTTAAAATCACGCCTGCTCGGGATGGTCTGATGTCAGACCACCCCAATGGGAGGATTGCGCACTGGTGGAATGATCAGACAGGTGAAAGTCCGCGGTTGTCCCGTTGGGACCCAAAAACTCCAGATTTAAAGTGGTATCTTTAATACCAGATGTTTGTGTCTGGGCATTACCTTTAAATCCACCAGGCACTCGCGCCCGGCGCGTATCTAAGGAACCATCTGAACAGACCCTGGGATATTTTACAGGACACCTATTGCATTTTTCCAGGTGCCCAATAGGTTCATATTATCTTCTGAGCTGGATCTCTCTTGCTAAGACTTGGCTTAAGCCTGCCATGCCAATGTATCAACTGTGTCATCAGTTTGCATCAGTGCATCAGGCCTAGGAACCACCAATTGGTGGTGTAGTATACTGTTCCAAATACTATCCCTGCACCAAATGAGATGTTCTGTCCTTCTCTGTGGAAGCAATGGTGGTGCACTGATATGGGTCAATGATGCTGTTGTACAAATTCCATTGGTTTCAATGTTAACAGGATAGGAACATTACCTAATTTATAAAGGCCTTCATCCTAATTTGATACTGGTTTTGGTAGGAGTCCATTTTGCCAGCTTCAAACCATACTTTTATCCTATATGAATGTCCACATAGTTGCTGCTTAAATGTATATTTATAGTAATCTTTGGGTTTATCATTACTTACTGCTTATATAAGATGCAGAAAAGCCACGCCCTGGGGTGTCCTGTGACTGAAACACTACTGTTATCACATTTCTTGGGGCAACAACAGATCCAGGAGCTGAATTTCCACAACTGATGGCTAAAATGGAATCTTCTTGTTCTTCATTGGTTCCTCTCAACACCTAGGGGAAAAGGTGCTACTATTTTGAGTATCTAAATAGGGATGCTTGAAGATCAGCATTCATACCAATTCAAAACACCACATTATGACAAAACTTGTTTTAACATTCTCGAGCAAAACAAAAATAGTCTAGTGACAATGAAGCAAGTGGCATATAAACTCATATACATACCAACTTTTCCGTTACTACTAGTAGATCCATGTGAACCTGTTTGTCGGTTAAGATCTGACTCTAAAGTGCTGCTCTGTATGCCTTCTGTTAGATGGGTGGGCAACAGAGATGGAGGCTTCTTCATTGTGGTACCTGTGACATTTCCTCACCAAGGAGATTTGCAATGGCCCTTTTATTGAATTGGATTTCTAGTTAAATGCTGCTTTCAATGAACAGGATTTGTGCTGCTTTTTATACTGCTTTCTGATGTTATTTTTGGTCCTCCGACTGCATGTTTTTGCTTTATTTGTATTTAATAGACTTTAGTTGATTGTTAGATGCTGCCTTGGAAATGGAAACTGAGTATGCAGTGGACAAAATGTTTTAAATAAATATATAATGCCTTAATAACCATAGTGCCAGGCTCAGAAATTCACACATTGAAGACAAAATGCACAGGTCTAAACTATCTAAGGCAAACTCTTGCATCTGCGACTCATATAGACAAATATGCCTGTATGAAAGATAACTCTGTCTGGCTCTTTGATACCTCTCCTGGGTAATTTCATAATGTGATTTCCCAGGTTTCATATATTTGGTTTTCATATACATTATATCCTATCTTGCTTTTACTTTTCTGCCATCAAATCTAAAATTGAGATAACAGATATAACAACAACAACAACAACAACAATAATAATAATAGGAGGAGAAGGAGGAGGAGATTTGATTTATACCCTGCCCTTCACTCAGAGTCTCAGAGTGGCTTACAAACTCCTTTCCCTTCCCCTCCCCACAACAGACACCCTGTGAGGTAGGTGGGGCTGAGAGAGCTCTTTTGAGAACTGCTCTTTCAAGAACAGCTCTGACAGCTCTGACAGAACTATGGCTTGCCCAAAGTCATCCAGCAGCCGCAAGTGGGGGAGTAGGGAATCAAACCACTACACCAAACAAACATAATAATAAATAAATAACAACAAGCAATAACTAACCAATAGAATAACACAAAATGCTAAAAAAATACAAAAAGTAGCCAGTGGAAAAATGAGATCTAAAACACATACAGACCAAATAGTGGGGAAAGGAGAAATTGCACTGGCCTTCTGCAAGGACCAGTTGTATGGACAGTGTATGTACTTCCCCATCCAGCAGCCACCACTGAAAAAATCCAGAGTTTAATACAAGTTATTTACTTTGGATAGTGGCACCCATGGAAGGGTCTCAGTTTATAATCTCTGCTTGCTTTTGTATGGAAGATATTTCTGGCACACACAGTTTAAGAAAAGCCATTTTAGATTAGTTTATAAATTGCAGCTTTCAGAGATGTTCTGAAACACAAATGGTACCTCTATATGAAAACATATTCTGCTGGCTTTCTGCATTTACAACACCAATATTGTGGAGCTTTGGTGCTTATGTAACATTGCCTGGGCACTGTTGTTGGTACAATCAGCCCCAAACAACTGCTGGGGTAAACACTAGTTTCAGATTGTTAATATAATTTCTAAACCAGAAGTACAATAATTTGATGCACTATGCACAATTTAAGACAGAAATGCTTCTGATTTCACCAAGAGTAATTTTAGGCCCAGGCACAACCTCAGACTTGTTAAAAACAAAACACCTCTTTAATGACATGCTTAGATTTCATTCATACTTAACCTGCTCAGGAAAGCTTTTCTGTCTAATGGGAAACATATTAAATCCAACTGAGGTCAACAAGATCAAGATATTTACATTATACTTAAAATTACACTTGGTGTCATTATGAAATCGGCACTTGAGACACCCAGAGAATCTGCCCTCATACCTGCAAATGCATAAATCAAGCTCAGTTATGAGTATGTGACAACTTCCTATTTCAAAGGTAATCTCCTTTAATTCCACGTGCAGTGCTTTATCCACAGAGCCACTTATCTCTTGCCTTCATAAAAAGGTCCTTTGTATACAAATGGAACTTTTAGCTAAGGTTTGAGGTTCAACAGGAGAGAACACGAACACTAACATTAGAAACACAGAAACATAGAGCTGGAAGGAACTCCAAGGGACCCCACGGGTCATCTATTCCAACCAGTGACCCCTGCTCTATGCCCAGAGGAAAGCAAAACATCTCCTTCCTGTTCCAAAAAGGTGATTGGCATTACCCTGGTCATATTAGAAAGGGCTACAAGAGCCAAGCACTGGCTCATCCCTTTCTGCCCGGCCTCTCATGATCTGCGTAAATTCATAGTGAATCAAAGAATCAGCATTGCTGTCGGATGGCCATCTAGCATCTGCTTAAAAACCCACCTCAGTGTATTTTCGTAGTTTCTAAGACTAAATTATATATGGATGCTTTCACTGTTTGAGGAAGAAGGAGCTATCCAGATGTTTGGGTCCCTCTACAAATGACAAATAATGCTTGCCCTTTATTACAAGTGGGAGGTGCATGACTTTGCACAGCGTGAGTACAACAACATTCAACCTCTGCCAAATTCCTGAGAAAACGATTAAACTGAAGGGGAACGGAAAACACGCCACACTGTTATGTTCAAGTGCCTCCCAGACAACGTTTAAGGAGATGTATATTAAAATTTCCCCATCATTTCCAGTTACAGGAATGAGTTTTCACATAAAGAAGATGTACTAATTTATGTAGTGGTATGCATGGATTTTCTTTGTTCCTTCCAATATTTTTTATAAAAATACCTTATCTGACAAGTTAGGCATATTCATTTCTAAAATAAATGATCCTATGCACATCTTCTAATGCAGAAGCTCTGTAACAGAATCCAGATATCTTTGGACTTCTTGTAGTTTCTCAGGATGGCAAGAGATCCATGATGGGATCTCAAAGGTTATTTTTTTTAATTAATAGCAGCTGCTGCCCCCCCCACCCTCTGGATCAGGACTATGGTGCTGAGGAAGTTTAACTATTCCCAATGCCATTATCTGGCTCTCTCCTCTGAAGCTGCTATGTACCCAGTGGGGTACATTTTCCTCTGTGAAATAACTAACAGCCCCAGTGTAGTGATTAAATGACAAACTGGTAAATGAGAAAAGGGTTAAACTCCCTCACCATACACTGAAACCCACAGCTACTACTAGATTTTAAAATAAATGCACATAATCCTATGAGGGGCTTTAGCTTGATGGTAGCGCACCTGCTATGCATGCAGAAGGTCCCAGATCCAATCCCCAAGATCTCTAGTCAATAGGATCACTTAGCAGGCGTTGTGCAAGACCTCTGCTAAGTCTCAAGAGCAGGGGTGTTGAACTCATTTGTTATGAGGGCCGGATCTGACATAAATGAGACCTTGTTGGGCCAGGCCATGTGGGTCATAAAATGTAATGCCAGGTAGCGGAGATATAAACTTTATGAAGGACACAAACACAAAGGTTTTTTTTTAACTTAAAATAAAATCACGCTTAAAACATTAGCACTCTTGCAATATTTTGTTTATTTAACAATGTCTGATAACTGACACCTCTTGCTCTGAATTATTACATCAAAATGTCTGTGCTGTTGCAATCTTGAGTATGCTGTTCAGGTGTGTATCTGTAAGCTGTAAACCTATAATAACGCAGCAGCAGAACTGGAAGCAGCAGCAGAAGACAGCCAGTTCCCTGCAGGCCTGATGGAAGCCTCATCCGGCCCCCGGGCCACATGTTTGACACCCCTGCTTTAGAGAATCACTGCTGGGCAGAGTAGTCAATACTGACAGACCAGTGGTTTGTCAGGCAGCTTCATGTGTTCAGTTGTGAATCTTTCACTGCCTACCTAGTTATACCCTCAATGGCAAGACTAAGGCACTAGATGCTTAAAAGATATCCATTTTCTTATTTCTTCACATTCTCTGGCCTGAACTTCCTGAATGAAAATGTGATCCAGGATTAAATCCAGAAATTAATGACATTACTAGCAATAAACCATACTGCTAGCTTTGATATTCCTTCTCCCTCAACTCCTTAATCATTTTAATATTTCCACTTTGATACTGTCATTATTGTGGCAATTGACATACCTTCACATAGCTGCTCTGACACTGTCCATTAGTATCTGGAATCTGGAAGTTCTCATCAAACATCATTTCCAAATGTTTGCTTTCATGAACAATTATTGTCCATGTGCACCTGATGTTACTAGGGAAGTTATGCGGCCAGTGAGGAGACCGGATGGTACCATTTTCTGAATGAAGGATACCACCACATCCTACAAAAGCAGAGAATGTTTACACTGAATCAGTCAAATTCCAGTGGGGTATTTTATAACAATGTGGTCATAAGCAGAGTTACACCCCTCTAAATTCATTACAGTCAAAGGGCTTAGAAGGATTGCAACCTAAGTCTGTTACATAAAAGCCAACCAACCAGCAAGACTAACACAGTTACTGAAGCATAAAAGTTGTGGGCTAGAGCCTACTTTGCCAGATGCATGAAATGCACAATCAAAGGGTTTAGAAGCACATGTAACTTGAACAGGGCTGCTTCTGCAAGGTGGATTTTAGGACATACTGCCATTACCAACTCTGACTTAGCAGACACGTATTATTTATACATGCCTTGTGGATTTTAGGACATACTGCCATTACCCACTCTGACTTAGCAGACACACGTATTATTTTTAAGTTATTTATAGCCCGCCCATCTCACTGGGGCTTAAGGCAGGTTACACAGAGTGAGTATTAGGCTACTTACAGGGGCATGCTAAAACTCAAAGGAATACCATAAAGCCATTATTGCACAAACCCATTACTTTTTGATAAACGAACAGTTTCTGGTCAAAGTGGGTTTTGCAGGTTTTTGAAGCCCTACACAATCCTGTAAAACCTCTTTAACCAGATTCATTAGCAGGTAACCTCATTATCTATCTGTCACACCCCTTTAGCTTTCTGCAAGAAACTACTGTCTGGTTCTAGCCTGAGAGTCTATCCAACTAATGGTACTTCATGTACCAATGATAAAATAAAATAAACTCCTGGAAATCGCTCTCATACTTTCACCCCCTCAAATACTAGGGAAAGTTATACTAACTGTTACAGAGAGAAAGTAAAAGGATAAAATAGTAGAAACTTCTCTGTCAGGGAAGAGGGAATTATTGCTTCCATAAGCTCAGACACTGGCTTGGATCCAGACTAGTGTTTCTGTAGGCACAAGGATTTCTGCCTGCAGAGTGCCACCTTCTCATCTCCCCATTCCTACAGCAGCCTGAAATGCCCTCTGAAATCCTGCCCCCCCCCCAAATTTTTGTGAAGGGGTAGGTATGAAAGTCATACCTACTGGTGGATCTGACCAGCTTTTCCACTCAACCTGTCCCAACTCTCCTGTTTACTGCAGCCCCTGTCTCATATGCTGTTTATCCATTTAGATCTCTTGATCCCCCAGTCTAACACTTTTCATCAGTGGAAAAAACTTGTTGGATTCATCCCACTGTCTATGGACAGAATTCATCATGCCGGCAGAAATGCTAGTCTAGCTCCAAGTCATTGATTCTCACCCCACCACACCCCATCCAATAATGTATCCAGACATCATTGTGAAGGCTCTAGTGTGCATAAGACAGATGGAGTTAATAATGGCTTTCCACTTACCTAAAGAATCCGCAGCCCATGTTGCATAGAAACCATCTCCCTGCACCGAGTGGTCTGAATTAAAATTTATGAGTAATTTATTGGAGGCTGACTGGATGGTGCCAGGCGATGTATTTCCACAATACCGTCCAATGATGGGAGAGCTAAGAGATCCCCCGTTCAGGATGGTTACTGAGTCCCAGCGACAGCTGCTGTGCCTTTCAACTTCAAAGGCCACAAAAGTGAGCTGTGGGCAGGCAAGATAACATGGTAAAGATGCAAGTGCAAAAGCACATTGTAAACAGAGCTAACTGCACCTACTGGAAGTTTTTGTTGTTAATATTATAATTAATTTTATTATTATTTAATTTAATTTGTAGACCGCCCTCCCTGTAAGGGCTCAGGGTGGTGTACAGAATGCACAAAAACATAAAATACCTAATTTAAAAACATCAGCCAGTTCTAGTTCAATTAAATGCAGAGTGAACCTGAGATTCAGGGAGATGCTGGGAGATGCATGATCAGATTTCCAGAGTTAATGTGTTAATCAACATGTACAATGCTCTGAGCTCTTTAGAAGAAAAATGGTAACAACAATAATATTTTGTGACTCAATCAAAATAAATGAACAACCACACCTGAATCCTTACATTGGCCACATCAGAAATGTAGCAAAAATTCTGTGCCTTGGTTTTTATGTAATTCAGAAATTTGCATATACCAGAGTGATTGTGAGAATAAAACAACTTTTGACCCACGAAGCTCAACACAGTTCACAAGCCACAGCGTCTGACAATCCCTCCCCTCCCCATTTTGGCAATATCAGACAGTATGAAGGAGTACAGACCTGGACGTTTACCTGTTTGGTACCTCTGTGCTTTTTGCCGAAAATCAGAAGTTCCTCAATTTCAAAAGTCTATAAGTCTGCAGACTGATAAAGTGCTTTTATTGATTCATTATATACATAGGTGAGTGAAGCATTACTCACATTGAACACCTGAATCCTTACATTGGCCACATCAGGAATGTAGCAAAATTTCTGTGCCTTGGATTTTGTGTAATTCAGACATTTGCATATGCCAGAGTGATTGTGAGAATAAAATAACTTTTGGCCCACGAAACTCAACACAGTTCACAAGCCACAGTGTCTGACAATCCCTCCCCTCCCCAATTTGGCAACATCAGAAATAATCCCAAATGAAGAAGAAGAAGAAGAGAAGAGATTGGATTTATACCCCGCCCTTCACTGGGAGTCTCAGAGCGGCTTACAAACTCCTTTCCCTCCCCCTCACCACAACAGACACCCTGTGAGGTGGGTGGGGCTGCGAGAACTCTGACACACTCTGCTCTTTTTCAAGGACAGCTGTGCCAGAGCTTGTGACTGACCCAAGGTCACATCAGCAGGTCCAAGTGGAGGAGTGGGGAATCAAACCCGGTTCTCCCAGATTAGAGTCCACACACTTAACCACTACACCAGACTGGCTGAGGGCATCATGGCTGATGCTGAGACAGTATGAAGGAGTGCAGACCTGGACGTTTACCTGTTTGGTATCTCTGTGCTTTTTGCCGAAAATCGGATGTTCCTCAATTTCAAAAGTCTATACAGGCCGCCTTCCTGTCTGCAGACTGATAAAGTGCTTTTATCGATTCATTATATATATAGGTGAGTGAAGCATTACTCACATTGATAGTGTGTCCCTCTGGTGCTACCAAGAGCCAGGAACAATGACTAGAACTGTTGTAAGGCTGTGGGTAATTAGGACTAGAGATAATCCCACTCTCAGCTTCCTGTACACCTCCACAGGCTGAAATGAAACCCAAAACATTAAGACACTTTGGTGCAGAAGTGGCAGAGTTGCCACTTCTCCTCTTACAAGTTCCTGGGTGACTTCACAGAAAAACAAGGCATCTACATTCATTCCAAGTAGATATCACCCGTATCACCCGTAACTAGCAGATCAAAAAAAGAATAATCGCAGTACCATATATAAAGTGCAATTAAGAAGAAAAACAGGAAAAACAGGAAAAAGGGCATATTATTACCTTTTGAATACCAAGAGAGAAACTCAGGGCTTAACCCCAAGAGTTAAAAGCCATTATTGAACACACACACCTTTGAGAAGTACTGAGGGATAAATTGGTCAAAATTGGGGTATGAGATATATGATGATGATGATGATGATGATGATGATGATGATGATGATGATGATGACAATCGATAGATAGATAGGTATAGATACACACATACACAGATATATATACATATGTATGAACACTTTTTAAAATAAAAAGCACAGTTAAAGCTACCATGTTTATACTGAACTTTTGGCATGAAGCTTAAACAGAATAATGGCAAAATATTTCTACTGCTAATATGCTTCCTAGATTTTATATTCAATGTTTCTAGTACAACCAACAAACCCTGTCTGAGTTGCCCCACATAATGAAAGTAATATTCAGCTTACCTAGAGATGAATAGCGGATAAAGAACCCTCGGCCTGTGTTTTCAGCATTAGTCAAAAACTGCATCCAGATCTGAGGAGCTGCTATTAGCAGAGGCTCAAGACCTATCCTGGAGCCACACAGCCTGTGAAAGAGCTCTCCATCAGCATCTCCTATGTAAAAGAAATTGGGCTGTGAAACAGTTAAATCCGACATCCCTAAAAACAAGCCCAAATCCATTGACTACTTGAGCCAAAATTCATATAATTAATTGGGAAGAATGGTTTCATGCCAAAATATTGACATCCTAGGCAAAGGAATGCTGGAAATTAGTTATTGCTTGAAAAACAGATTTTTTATTACTTATTTAAAACTTGTATGAATGGGTTTTAGTTTGGCCTAGAAAACCAGCACAGTGGATGAAGAACAAGATTGGTCAGGAGAAGCACACTTTCACTTTGAAGTAGCTGAAACTTGTCATTTATCTTCCAAGGCAGCCCCATGATTCAGTAGTTAATCCAGCAGTTTATGAGTGCACGGGTCAGTACCAGTAGCCCAAGATCCACTATGTCCGGGGGAGGGGGAGTCAGCATAACAAATGAAGCTGGTAAAAACACATTTCTCACTATTAAAATAACAGGCTTTTCTAAAAGTAGGGTCAGATTCAGCAAGGCTTTCCCCCAAAACAGTGGGTCTCTGCAAGCATGATATGACCAGAGTCAGCAGTTTTGGATGTATAAATGAAGAGCTGTGACCTACCTAGTCGAATTTCTAAGTAGTCATTCTGGCAATTAATGTGCTCCTCCAAGCGGAAATCTCCAAAGAGAAGGTAAACAGTTGTGATGGATGGATGTGGATTTTGGATGACCCATTCACAGTTCAGGTTGTTTAAATAATTGCTGGTGCCATCATAGCCAGGAGAAGTGAGGTTGCCACCTTTTGAACTGAGTAGGAGTCCACCACATACTGAAGAAACAGTACATCATTGGAAGAGGACAGGGATAGTTCTGGCATACAAATGATGCATACAAATACACCCATGCATAGAGAATGGCTCATCTCCCTTTGTTGACGTCACTCTAATGGTGATTGCTAAGCCACTATCATTGGCATTGCTGTAACTAGTCTATAACTCTTAATTTAAGCAACATTGGGGGGGGAGAAGAAGACAAAATTTGTCTTCCTCGTTGTCTAAAATGCCCAGAGGAATTCACAGCTCAATTCTCCAGTCAGCTTGGGAAGTTCTGCTAGTTTTGCCTTATTTGTTCTTTTACAGACTGGCAGGAGAAAAGAAGCAGAGAGAACATTGCTAAAGGTCTTCTTCATAAACTTTAAGCAATCATGTTAGAATCTTGAACTCTGAACCAGCGGGCCAACTGCAAAGAAACCTGCCAGCTCTCCATTTCAGACATTCCTCTAACATTGCAATGACATTACAAATGTTTTTGGCCATCCACACCCTATTTTCTTACTTGCGTGTTAAAGACACAAGCAGACAGAGAAATGTCTTCTTATAAAAGTTAGTTTAAAGGCATAGCATGTGGAAGAGGAAAGCTACAAATCAGACCTAGGTCTTTATATTCGGGTTTGGAGGTGCCATCCCTAGCTGCAAAAGCTATTTGTAGTGAAGAAGAATATCAAATTACCTGCATCTTCATCGGAAGCATATGTAATCCTAAAACTACCCTCTGCTTCATTATGGCTTGTTACCATAATTACTGTAATCTTGTTTCCAGAAGATTTCACCTGAGTGCCTGGATCCACCACACCACACAGTTTAGTTAGCCTGGGAGTATTTTCTCCCACACCATTGTGAACCTGTTTACCAAGAGAAAAATGAAACCAAATATTAGAAAGGGTTTTTTTTTACTTTCAATATGTTGTATGGCTATCAAGATATTTAGAAGCCTCACAAATGTGTACTTCGATTCTGGTTGAAATGTATAGGAAAACATCAAGGCTCTTAAACTAGGACTACCAAGTTATCTCAGCTGAGACTGATAACTTGTATGCCGGGAAGAAATTATTATATTCAGGATCAAACTTGCCCCCACTCCAAATCTCTCCCATCACAATGCTGCTTCTGCCTGCCCACCTGCCTTTCTAGTTCCCAGTCTGTCGTGGAAGTTAGGAGCTTTGATTGAAAAGGGGGAAAGCAGGGAGAGCACAGCAGTACTGGGTACCAGATCTGCCTAAGGACTTTTGGCGCCCTGGGCATGGGGAAGTGACTGCTCCCCCCAACACACACCAAGGTACAGCAGACCCAATGCTGTGGGGCGGGTGGATGACGGTGCTGGTTGGTGCCCCTCCACCTCTGGTGCCCTAGGCAATTCCTTAGGGCTGCCTAGTGAATGGGTCTGCCCAGAATACACATGACAAGACTGAGCAGACCTGTTCTTTTGGAAAGGAAAGGCCTCAAATATATGAGCCTAGATTTAAATCTGGCAGCCCTAACTACGTATTTTTAAGATTTCTATCATATAAATTCTGTGTTCCTTTTAGTGGTGTGATAGAGATGGGCAAATACTTCCTGTTTTAAATCCCATTGTCCAAGTATTCTGATTTACAGGTCATTTCCACATTGCAGAGCTTCACAAACTTTCTAAAGTTTTGTTACCTATATTTTGACACTTCCATACAACCTTTGATTCCAGAGTATTCTATCCATTACACACCATTTTCTTGGCTAGACCTATACGACAGCTGTGTGATGACTGTTTCTCATTCATCATTTTTTGAGGCTCATGACTTCCCCACAAAAGGCTCACAATTTATACAGAGCATGTTGCATCTTAAACCCCTTTCAAGTCAACAGAACTAAATCATTTTCATGTATCTGCATCTCAGCTTTTACGTCAGAATTTTATTGCTAAATCAGATGTAGAGGAAGAAGCTTCCTCAAAAATAGCACCACACAGCATGATACATATCTGCTTCAGTGCAAGCATTGTGTTTCCAGGCTTATCCTCTTGCTGCCCATTTCTGTGGTATAGACAGGTGGGCAGCAGCAGCCACTGAGGTCAACACTGATATAACCTGGGCCGAAAGAGGCGATAGTGCAGGGAGAGTGTTATAACGTAGAACCCTTCCCTTCTCTAGGCCTACACTGGAAAATGAGAAGGATGAGCAGTTAGTGCTGACTCAGCATGGGTTCCATCTTGTTTGTAAGGTAACCAGTTTCTTCCTCACCATTTTGATGATTCAGCCTAAGGACAGTCCCTTTCAATGGGATTGATGTTGACTTGGAAGAAAGTTCTGTTTGATTATGTGGAATCAAACAGACAGCACGAAGATTGCAAAAAAGCAAAAACCAAGTGAAACCTGAAGGACTGAACTTCTTCTTTCCCCACATGGCCCCGAGGCAAGCTGAGGATGCAAGACCCTTCAGTGTGCATTTTATGGACCAACTGAGACATCTCCTCTGTAAATGTGGAAATATCTTTCTGATATGGCTCATTGCATTTCTATTTTATAAAAGATACTATGGACATCACAGCCTATATTTTAAGACTGTGGTCACACAAACTAAATAATCCACTTTCAGTCCACTTTCAAACTGGATTTTTACTGTGTGAAAGTGCATTGAATGTGGATTGAAAGTGGATTATTTAGTGTGTGAGTGCAACCACAGAATGTCTTAAGTACCAGCCAGAAGTTCACTTCCTTTTTGTTTTCTGTAATTCATTCTGGTGTAGTTAAACTATATGGTCATAATTCAGAGACAGTTGGAAATATTTTCTATGTGTTGACATCTCCAATATGGCTGTAATGAGTAGCACTGTTCTCCACTTCCTAGTTCTAGAGTTGAGATGTTTTAAGTACTGAATAACTAGGGAGACCAGTGTTGCATGTTATACCTATAAAAGAGGTAAATCATACCAATCATACCAACTCTGTGTGACTTTTCTTAAGTGGCAAGTGGATTTCAACATTGGCCAATCTTGGAAGGATGGATTCCCATAAATTCAGGTTAACACTTACAGACACATAATCTGAACTACAATTCTGGCTGAGTCCAAAAGTCATCTCACTAATGGTTAGAGTGACCCGGCGTCCCAGTGGTACCACAATTCTCCATTCACACTTGAGCTTATGCAGAAATGGGTTTAGATAGTTCGGGGAAGTAAATGTCCCAGCAGTGCCACGGAGTTCACCTCCACACTCTGGAACAACACAAATAATAATCAGTCCTTCACAATTAGTTGATGTTTCCTTGTAGAATGACATGAAATGTTTAGTGATGTAATGGAAATCATGAAAGAAAAGGTATAGAGAATTCTTATAAATATGTAATGGTTACATTTTTTCAGTGCCTCCTCATATTTCAGAATTAAGCAGGAAACTAAAATCAGGATATTTATGCTAGATTGTACATCAAAAGTGACCCAATAAATGATCCTATTGGAACATAAATCCTCCTATCATGCAATAAGCAGCATTTAATGCCACAATATGAAAGGCAAATGATGAGCTGTATTCAACACTGTATTTATTCAAAAGTAAAACTTGTTTTTTTCCTAAATTTGCCATGAAGAAAAAAAGAATGCTGTCTTGATTTTACATACAAGTTACAGTTATGTACAATAATAAAAACTTTTTGTATACAACTTTTTAAAAGGGGAGGGTCATCTTACATTCAAGGCTGAGCTCTGAGCAGGAGCAGGAGACAGAGCTGCTAGAGGGGTGAGTGTTTTTTACTTGCTTCCAGCTGAGGGGATTCAGCTGAGGATATTGTGTGGGAGGACTGTGTTTGGGAGTGTGTGAAAGTGATTAGAGTTGTTGCAGAGTCCTGGCTGCTTGAGAGAGGGAGAGGAAGGGGCATTGTTTGACTGTGGAGGGCACCAGGAAAGGTGTTGGTGTCCCAAGGCACCCATGGGCACCTTGCTGGTGACCCCTGAAATATGATATCTTATTTGTGGCCAGTGGAGACCTACAAAGACTCATCCCCTTGGCTTTCATGTATCAGAAACCTGAAACTTTTGGGGAGTAGATTAAAACTCTGCAGCAAACCTTCAAAACTAGCAGCAAAACGCAGCATGAAGCCTGGTGCATTTATAGATTCATCCGTAACAAACTTGATGTAAGCCAAATTGTCAGGTGTGTCCAAGGCATCAGGTATAGTAGCTCCACAGTATTTACCTAATATATTCCCTAAATAAATAAAATAGAATAGAAACAAGATGATTTTTTAATTTGGTGCCAACCTACTCATTTTTACCTACACTCCACCCCATTTTGAAGGGCAAAGAGAGTGAGTTAGAATACATTTATTTATATTAATTGATTAATTAATTTATTTAAATTTTATTTCCCCTTTTTTCCCTTCGTCAAGTGGGTGCTTGTGTGTGTGGAGAATAATGCCTTTTTAATTTTGGCTGGCAGGAGATCAGGTATAAGCTGAGCTGATTCAAATTAAGCTGTTTTAAAACAATAACTGTAATTCAAGAGCTTGAAAAACTATTGCTTAATTCCCTTTTGAAAGATGCTTCTTTGAATGCATGCACTGTGCTTTGCCCAATGGCCAAATTTCATTCATATTCACACTGAAAGCCCAGACCTACAAAGACTCATCCCCTTGGCTTTGATGCGGAGAGCTGGCACTGCTTTGACTCTAGAGATAACAGGAAGTTTTGTTCCTGATGGAATAGGGAAAGCCCCTATGTAGCTTAGAATTGTTAAGCAAGAATTTTTTGCATAGGTGAAGGTATACTAAGAGGGCAGAGCCACCACTCCTGTAACATCTTATGAGCCATAAAAATGGTTCTGTTCACTTTGCATTGATGGACTGTTTCCTCTCATCGAAAAGATACAAGAAAAAAGGTTTGGCAACCAAGTAGAGTATACAAGGGCAGTGGAGTATACAAGAGCAACTCTGCCTGACTTTTGTCAAGAAGTGCTGCTGTGCTGTTGAGGCACAAGCCTGTGATTTGACTGCAATTACTATAGAAGGAAATACTATAAAGTTAGCTGGTAAGGGAGCAAGAAGAAGAGTAACATAATTGTTTCACAGACCTGAAGCATCATGTTCTCGAATTTCCAAATAGTCATTTGCACACTCTGTTGAGTTCTGGATGTCTAGTGCTTCAAAACTTATGGTGAGATAATGACCTGTAGGTCCACGCAGGAACCATTCACACAGTAAATTGTCTTGATAATGAAGATCAGGAAATCCAAGACTTTTGATGAACCCGTTCTGCCCTGTCAGTGTTCCCCCACACGGAGCTGCAGAGAAACACAAGGGTATTCAGCAGTCCAGTCCTACCACTGGAACAGATAATTCAACTATGTTGTCTCGCTTTCCTTCCTATCCACAAGCACAGCTAACAACAAAAACACACTGTGTTTCATAGTGATAATATACTAGTGTTCATTCAGTGGAATGGAATAATACTGTTCTTCCTCAAGCAAAGGAGAAAAAAAAGTACAGAATCTGTCAAGCGCTGGCATACAGGTTCCTCAATAGAAGCTCTTGCAACTGAGCTAATTGAAAACAGCCAAATGTGTAACGTTTTTGCAAGGCAGATTTAGGGTGTATTGTTATCTCTAGAAATTATTCAATGCAAATGTGAATTATTATTTTAGTAGTTTGGGAAAGTGTGAAATATTTACATTATGCTCTTTCTAAGAGTATTTCTAATACATATTTTAGATAAGATACATTATATCACATTCTTCACTGTATCTGAAGAAATGTTTTCTTTAAATGACAGAATTCTGAAGTTCCAGATCTAAAACATAATAGAAGGATGAGGCAGAAGTTATTATCAAGGTTTGCCTTTGGAATAAGCATTATGGCCTGATTGCACATACAGAAAGAGAGAGAGAGAGAGAGAGAGTGAGAGTTTAGGATTTGATCTCTTTGACTTTTACATTTTGGACCAATAAAAGGGTTAAGCAGTAACTAAAAGCTCCTGTCACCTCTTGAATACTTGGCATTGAACCCAGCCCTTGAATCTGAACTGTCAGACCGAAATCTCATATATAGGGTAGCACCAGAAGATCTCTGAATGGCTGGCAGAGAATTTCCACAAAGTTGTGCAATAAGAGGTGCACTGGAGTCAGCTCCATCTCGTAATTCAAGGTAACTTAATGTGCAGCTAAGGGAAAAGAACACAAGTGTATATTTATACATGAAAAATGCTTTCCAATGTTTTAGGAAGTATCCAGATCATCATGTAAAGAAAACCCCTTCAGTGTATGACGTGCTAACTCAATTCTGAGGGAACAGAAATACAAAGATGGTGACAGAGAGGTTAACGATCAATAACACTTAGGGTCATCTGAGATCTGAATCAATTGCAGAGAAAGAAATAACTAAAGAGGTCACAAGGCAATGTGGACCGTTATTCACAGTTCTTTATTTTCTGGCTCAAAGCATGGGAAAAACAGCCTTGAGGATTAGGCTAAAAATCTGTCTGGATTTAAGAGTTCAGATACCAAATATTCATGCAATAAATTCTGTCAAACATCTTTCAAGTCTTTAATTAAAATCACTGTAATACCAGACCTATCTTGAAACATACACAGAGAGGAAACCAGCTGTGGGGTAAGGATGATTTTTTCCCTTATATACATTAAATAGCAAAAGTTTAGTTATATAATTGCTGCTTTTTGCGTGTTAATGGCAGTGATGGAGCTTACACATATACAGTTTGTATGCATGTGGGCTCTGTGCTCAGTTTGTATGCATGTAGACTCTGTGCTCACATGAAGTATAAGTGGGTGGGCAGGGCCAGCATGCTTGGTTCAAGGCAGGAACAATGGACTTGCTTCTGGTCCCCTTCTGCATATAATGATGGTGTACACACATACATCATATACACAGGTCTAAGAGAGTTAATCAGAATATGAAGGGGTTTGTGAGGATACAATGATTAAGGGAAAATGCACTTCTGCCATTTTTAAAATGAAATACAACAGGCATACCGAACTAAATAAGTAAGGGTAACTATTCTCTTTTCTTTAAAACCTTATTTTTATTTGATTTATTATCAGTATATTCTAAATAGGGCCTGGAATTAAGAAGGAAGGACAATGCAGGTTTGCTTACTTGACACTGTGATCTTCAAAAGACCTCTTTGAATTTATACCAAAGAGTGTATGCTGAGTTCAATCAATTAATAGATGCACTCACATACCCATGGGTGTGATTCATGTCTCAATAAAGAATATAATGATCACCTAAGCAAAAGTAACACTGTTTCCTTGATGCCAGCTGTCTCCTTACTTCTCAGCATTCTCAAGAGTGTAGAGAGAAAAAGGTCCTGTCCTGACTGTTGTTCACCCTTGCCTAAACCCCAGTGGTGCCATCAGGGCTAAACTTTAGGGCGCAAGTCCAGGGCCCCAACCACCCTGGCTCAGCAAAGGAGGTTTCAAATGCAGGGAAGAAAAAGGAGGACGAGGAGGAGGAGAGGGAGAGGTTGAATTTATACCCCACTCTTCACTTGGAGTCTCAGAGCAGCTTACAAACTCCTATCCCTTCCCCTCCTCACAACAGACACCCTGTGAGGTAGGAGGGGCTGAGAGAACTCTGACAGAAACTGCTCTTTTTCAAGAACAGCTCTGACAGAACTATGGCTTCTCCAAGGTCATCCAGCAGCTGCGAGTGGAGGAGTGGGAATCAAACCCAGTTCTTCCAGATTAGAGTCTGCACACTTAACCACTACACCAAACTGGCTAAGCAGAGACAGGTAAGCTTCACCCAGCTCACATTCGTCTTTATTCCTCTACTTCGTTCCCCAGTGCATTCTGGAAATCGTATTTCTCAGAATGTGTAACATTAACAAAGGGGGGTGGATGCTAAGAACAGAAACTTTTCTGACAAGGAAAACAGCTACTAGGTTGCCGAGAAAAGACCAATGCTCTAGAATACCATCCATATTTGCCTTCAGCAGCAAATGAGACCTCCACCATAGCCCATCATCATGAATCATCCTATTGTAATGCATGCTGAAGAATGAAGATATTATAAACACATAGAACAAAATTTTAAAAGGGCTGGATCCTGTGAATCAGTTCTGTTAGTGCAGGGCCTTCCTTTGTTGGAACAAGCCTTCCCATCTGATTATCTTGTGTTAGGGAAAGCTGTCTCATTCAACACAGCAAAAATACTTTTATTGGTGGAATGGATTCATGGGGTGCAACCCAACATCAAATATAGTTAAAGAACTTAATTACATTGAAATATCTGTCCCCTAGGGTTTCACTAAATTAAAGGGGGGGGGGAGAATAATGTGTACATACTTGGACGAAGGGTCAATATGAAATTGATCTTCAAACTTGAGCTCCACTGCTTCCCCGTAGAGAACAGTTATCGTCCAAACACAGTCAGCATGTGGTGGATAATTTCCAGGATAGTTGGGTGAAGAGACATATCCAGAAGGGTTGGTTTGACTGATATAGATATTCCCTCCACAAGCTAGAAAAAATATTCAAGCATGTTAAATACTATAATGAACATGTGTGGTGTCTTTATAATGTGTTCTATTATATAAATGCCCAAAAGAGTCATCTATAAACCAATCTTCTTTCTGGTTACATTTATTTGTTTATTTCTGACTATTCTGGTCTTTGTACCATCTTTGGATTCAAGGTGGTGTAGAGAGTAGGGATGGGTACGAACCTCCCCACAACCCTAAATTCATCATGAAAACTGCCAGGTCGTGGTTCACGAACCCAAGTTCGTGACCATCCCTATCCGTGACCCTCCCACAACCCTCCATGTAGTTTTTCAGAGGTCCATGGGGCTCATGCTGGGAAGTGGGGGAGCAAGAGGGATCACTCAAATGGCTTGCATCCATTTTCGCCTAACAGTGGGCTTGGTGTGCCTGTCAGCTGTTAGGCTGAAATCGATGTAAGCCACTTCAGCAATCCCTTTTGCTCCCCTCCCCACTTCCAAGGGGTTGTTGAAATGACTTGCAGGCTCTATTGGGCAGTCCGGTTTGAACCAGGCTGCCCAGCAGAGCCCCAGCTGACCCTGCAGGGAGAATTCTTCCCACAGGAGTGGCTCCTTTGCAGGCTCTGTTGGGCAGTCCAGTTTGAACCAGGCTGCCCAGCAGAGCCCTGGCCGAGGATGTGGGAGCGTGCCTCACAAAAGTCATTCCCTTTAAATGGCTTTTGCAACGCTCGCCACGCATGAGTGAAATCCAAGTGGTGAATTCACCTGGAAGTAAGTGAATTCACTGCTTGGACTTCACTCGCACGCAGCACACCTTGCAAAAGCCATTTAAAGGAATGTCCCTTTAAATGGCTTTTGCAAGGTGAACCACATGCAAGTGAAATCCAAGTGGTGAGTTCACCTGTCCACAAACCTCACAAAATGAACTGGTTCAGTAATTGGGGAGGCTCATGAAGGTTTGTGGCTTGTGCAGCCCCATGAACAAAAACAAATCTCTATCTTCCGGGTTCGTGCCCATCCCTAGTAGAGAACATTCCTGGACGGCCTCCTATTAAGACAGTGAGCAGATGCTGAGTGCAATCCTAAGAATACTTTTCTGAGAGCAAGCCCCATTAAATACAATGGGATTGACTTCCAATTATACCTGTTTAGGATTGCCTCCATACCTGCGTAACTACAGCAGGGTTGCTGATCCACATGTTTTCAGACAATGTATTTGCATTTATGATGTGTTTATTTATTTATATCATGTTTTTCTTCATAGTTGGGACTCAAGTGGCTTAGAACACCATTTTCCCATCTCCTTTCTCTGTCAGCAACTCTGTGAGGTAAGCCAGCATGAGCGTTTGTGATGAGCCCGAGGTCACTCACTGAGCTTCCATAGTAGCAGTGGCAGTAGACGTAAACCTGGGTCGCCCAGGGTCCTAGTCTGCCACTCTGTCCACTTCTCCACACTCCTGGACCTTGCCATACTGTATCAGTCTTCCTTCTGCTGAGGTTTATGCCATGGAGCTGCTCACAGTATTCTTTGACTTTGGTTTTATCTATTCTTCCCTAGTTTTCAAGTCTGATGTATTTTTTGTTTTTCTGTGGGGTTTGGCTGTTTTGTAGCTGCATCCTAAGCACCTTAAAAACTGGTTGAGAAATATGATGTCAGAAGTCGTCCTTGCCCACATTCAAAGGAGGTCAAAGGACGCCTTTTGACTCACTTGTTGGACATTATTCCAAAAGCAGAAATTGTATCTCAGCATTTTTTTTTACCATACTGTAGTTTATGGCACTGTTTAGTGTGTCATCTTGTTTTTACTGCACTGTTTTCTAATTTCTGTAATCCACTATTTTGCAATTCTTATATGTTATGCTTTATACCATTTTTATTGAAGTGCTTTCTGACATTAATTTAGATATCATTGTGTTAGAATATGTTTCCATGTTCTGCAAGATCATCAAGTTCGTATTCAGTGCCAACACTCACCCAGACCCTTTGCTTCATACTTGAGTGTGAAACCTTGCCCTCCATTATGGCTGTCAGAAATGAAGCGGACAAACAGCTGATTATCTGAGGTATGCATGGTAGGAAAGGAACTGCTACCACAAAAATGGCCATTCCCTCCATTGGGTCCTAGCGGTGGGGCAGAGAGATCTGGTCCGTTTCTGAGCTAAAAAGAAATTTATGAACACTGTCACTGAGAACAGTTGTCAAGAAATGATCCAGAACAGCATTCTGGGGAATGTATCACTGTCAATAATCATTGTTAAGTGTGCAAAGTGGATTGCTGTCCTTACTTTAGCTTCACAACAAACCTGTTAGATCAAACTGTTATTCCCGCTTCACAGATACAAAACTGAAACTGAGATATAGTCCCTTGCCCAAGATCATCCAGTGAATTCATCAGTGGCCTGGGAATTTATCCCAGCTGATCCAAGTCTACCATACATGTAAGAGAATTAATGAATCCACAATGTGTGTATTTGTAGTTAATTCCATAATATTATAAAGAACATTATATTATAAAGAACATCTCCCATATTGACTATGGGAACCCACAGTCAGTTATGGTACCTAGTGGTTTCTTTGTTGTTGTTGTTCAGTCACACAGTCAAGTCTGACTCTTCGTGACCCCATGGACCACATCACACTAGGCCCTCCTGTCTTCCACATAATATTATAAAGAACATTATATTATAAAGAACATCTCCCATATTGACTATGGGAACCCACAGTCAGTTATGGTACCTAGTGGTTTCTTTGTTGTTGTTGTTCAGTCACACAGTCAAGTCTGACTCTTCGTGACCCCATGGACCACATCACACTAGGCCCTCCTGTCTTCCATCGTGCTCAAGAGTTTGCTTAATTTCATGTTCGTTGCCTCGATAACACTGTCTAACCATCTCATCCTTTGCTGTCCCCGTCTTCTTTGACCTTCAGTCTTTCCCTGCATCAGGATCTTCTCCAGTGAGTGCTCCCTTCTCATTTGGTGGCCAAAGTATTTAAGCTTCAGTTTCAGTATCTGGCCTTCCAGGGAAC